ATTGTGATACATATCTCTAAATTGCACATATGTGTGCATCCATGACATGTTTCTTAAAAGCAATCACTTACATTTAAAGATTTTTCTTGCTTTTTACAAGAACATTAAAAACTGCATAGCTTTCGCATCGATACCCACGTCGGTTAAGTGCTGATTTTTTATGACGTCTTATACCTGTTTCTAACATAGCAACTCAAACTTCGAATCTAGAGACCACATTGCATTTGCGTGTTAGATTATATCTGCAATAGACAATCTCTCAACTCATTTGCATCTCATGTTGTGGACATGCTGTGAATTTTTATTGAAATTTCGGTCTAAAGGTTGCTTCTAAATTCAGAAAAGAAGAAGTCGCAAAACATGTGTTTCGGAAAGAAGATTGAACTGAATGAAAAATATACCTAATCTCATGTTGGCTAAATGCTAGTAATTATGTAACTAAATATTTTAGCTTTGTGAATTGGCCTTTCATGCTCGTAAAAGTTTTAGGAAGACGACTCAACTACTGTCATTGGTTCAGTCACGATTTCAGAACTGGTTATTTAGATAACTGCAATTAACCTCCATTTCTCAGCGACTGTGGGATTTCTAGACCTGTTTGCATAGTCCTTGCTGATAGTGTTGCACTCAGACATTTGGCTCCTTCACTTCTTTTCCGCATTATATTTCAAATTAAAGGGAGAGTATGTTGTGGATAGAAACCATCCTTAAGATTTGGCTAAACTATGGGGTAAGAATAGTTCATTATGCCTTTATGACATAGAGGTGAAAATAAAAAAATTTTCTTTGGATGAAGTATACCAAGCTCGTGATTAGACTCGTCGACACATGTACTTCACTGACAATTCTCACAAAATTTTTAGGATAACTTCACCTGAATAAATGGCTTAAGTACTTCGATCCACCTTGTTGAGATCACTCGATGATCTATATTTATTTTCATAGGACGCGAGCGCTCAAAATTCTACCCTCCAAACCTGATCAGTCAATTGTTGATGGGCCTCTGGATACTGAAGAACCTTTTTGTCTTTCTGCTTGTTGGACCGAGATAGTGCAACAATCCAACTGTGGAACTGCTACTGCTTAGAGTTGTATCTTGGGCCAAATTACTCATTTATTCATTCATTCAACTATTTTCATATCAGTTGCATGGCCTATGAGCAATCTTACTGTTTTTGCTCTGCATTGTGCCCAATTGTCTGCTTCAGACACTTGATGGTTGGACGAGGACCCCTTGCGTTCATCGTTCAAAAGGATTTCTGAGGTAACCCAAAGATCTGGCACGAATATCTCCAAATGGCATCCACATTAACAAATACAGATGCATGTTTTTCCGCTGCGCCGAGGCTTCTGCCTAGATCTGTTGAGTAGAGAGCCTGGTCTACTTGATATTAGTAACTGTTGTGCAGTCAGTCAACGATCTCATATTGCTCTTAATCTTATGGCTTACGTTTAAGCTCAGCATTTTATTATATGTTTCTGTGCCCGTGTCTGAATAATCTGGGCATTGCTGATGAAACTACGCACCGGAGCTGAGAGTCATAGCTCAAGGGCGATTACATTTTGATAACGGTCCGACAGATTAATTGTATCTGCGCAATAATAATTTTCTTACGCGAAACAATCTTCGTTCATATGCATTTCCCTAAGACTAGCTCTTGCGACTATTGTACCGGATAAAACGTCTTCACACCTCCTACCGGTTTCTCTATCCGCTTCATCTCTTCTAGTCTGATACAAAACTTTACAAAATAGTTCAGAATATACTAAGCACAAGACCGATGACGACTGAAGATTAGCTAAGTATTGGCTTTCCATTTCCAAATTTTATTGAGATAAGCCAAAAACACCTTCTTATTTTCATTCAAAGAACCTGAAAAAAAAACCTTCTAGAAAAGGTTAGACACGTTGGCTAAAAAATCAATATGCATATTTCTCGTAGAACTAGGTAAGCTCAATGCATACACTTCTCCTATATTTTTATTCTCATAATATTTGCTTTAAACTGCGCGATTTACATGTTAAATTTGTTCTATTGTAAAGGGAGAAGGGGTATGGGCTAAATTTGCGTTTTCTCAAATGAATAGTGGAGAATCATCTTTCAAATGTATGCCAGACTACTCTCTATCTCCTTCTGCCAATAAAGGGGATACTCACACTGTTAGGTTTTTCAAGGCTAAAACCTGTACATCACGATGTGTCCAACCAGTTGACACAGCGATTAGTCGGCAGCGCTGCATGTTCGCTTGGAATTGCATGTATGCTTTTTTCAGTCCGCGGAGAATACGTCTAGCACAATTAAACCATTGCCGATGCTTCCTTCCATTTTCTGAAATCTCACTACGATCTTCTCACGCTTTAGGTTTTTTTTTTTTCAATTTGATGGCGTCTACTCTCACTTTTGCATCATAAGACTTCTCTTACCAAAAATAGCTAAAAGAAACCATGCTGTATAATTATTTTATAGAATGCCTCACTGCAAATCATAATAATTGAAGTGTTTGTGCCTTGCTTTCACTTTTATCTCACCAAATTGTGACCACAATGTGGAGTAGCGAAGATTTTGACAAACTGTTTGCGAAATTAAACTTGTCTATA